AACCATGGATGCTTATAGGCATTTATGTTGTCCAGACTTGGTTGCAGCCTGGAGAAAATGAAGGGGCACATGGTTACTATAAATGTGGACCTTTCCATTGAATAGTGATACATAAGACTGATGACTAACAAACATACCCTACATGGGAAACATTTGAGTGATGACATCTTTTTTCTCTTACCCTTTTAACTAGCCACAATGGCTGGGATTTTACTTAAGAAATGTATGGGAAACAGACTAAGCCCGAGGCAGAGCACCCTGGCAGCTGTAGAAAGAGAAGGCTGTACCTCCCCATGTGTGTTATCTGCATTTTCCTATCATTTTAACATCTGCCAGGGAGATCAGCTTGGGGCCCTGAGTGCTGCACATTGAATGCTCAGGTCTGGTGGGTAAGTCTACTTTCCTTTTCCTGCCACAAGAGAAAAGAGAGGCTATGAGACTGTGGTCTTGAAGCCTCTGCCACCAGCCCTATCCAGGATGCTTGGCTTTTTGGACAAATGCATTCACAAAGGTTCTGTATAATCTTTGTTAAGCCACCTTTCTCTATGTGTCCCCAATAAGGAAGATGCTTGCACTTCCTTGATCTTCAGAGGAGATTCAAGATGGTTGTTATTTTGCAAGACGTATAGAAAAATGGGAAGTAGTATTATATTATTGGCTAATGCCACTTTGAAACAAAGCAAGGAGTTATCTATACCCTTTCCATATTATTTATTATGATAAGGTACCTAAATTTCTCTGCAAATATATGTTTTTCAGTGTAAAATTAGCCTGGTTTGCCATTACATTCTATCATATCACTGAGCATGTTCCTACTCTTTTATCTACTCTGTTTTCTCCTATGTTATTGAGGTTTCCCAAGATTTGTCTAAATTAGTACCTGCCTCATTCTTTTTTTAATTGAGCAATAATTAACATGTAATATATTAGGTTTAGGTGTACAACATGATTTGATATACTGTTTGTATATTTTGCAAAAAGATTCGCTCATATCTAGTTAACATCACCTTATATAGTTACATATTTATAAGAATTTTTAATATCTCCTCTCTTAGCAACTTTCAAATATACAATAGAGAATTATTAACTAAAGTCACCATGCTCTATATTAAATTCCCAGGACTTGCCGAAACCGGTTTGGCTCAGTGGATAGAGCGTCGGCCTGCGGACTGAAAGGTCCCAGGTTCGATTCCGGTCAAGGGCATGTACCTGGGTTGCGGGCACATCCCCAGTAGGAGATGTGCAGGAGGCAGCTGATCGATGTTTCTCTCTCATCGATGTTTCTAACTCTCTATCCCTCTCCCTTCCTCTCTGTAAAAAATCAATAAAATATATTTTAAAAAAAATTCCCAGGACTTACTAATTTTATAGCTGGAAGTTGGTACCTTTTGACCAATTTTACTTGTTTCCCACAGCTCCCCACACCCTGTCTCTGGAAACCACCAATCTGTTCTCCGCTTCTGTGAGCTTGGTCTTTTAAAGATTACACATATAAGTGAGATCGTACAGTTCTTGTACTTCCTTGTCTGACTTATTTCACTTAGTATGATGACCTCAAGGTCTACCCATGTCAAAATAGCAGGATTTCCTTCTTTTATGGCCCAATAATATTCCATTGTGTATATGTGTGTGTATACGCATATATGTATAACATTTTAAAAAATTCATTCATCTATCAATGAATACTTGGGTTGTTGTCATATCTTGGCTATTATAAATAATGCTTCAATGTGATATAAACATGAGGGAGCAGATATCTTATCCAAGTAGTCATCCATTTCCTTCAGATAACTACCCAGAATTGGAAGGGCTGAGTCGTGTGGTAGTTCTATTTAACTTTTTGAGGAACCTCCATAATGGCTGCACCATGGTGGCAGTCCCACCAAGAGTGCACAATGGTTCATTTTTCTCCACATCCTTGCAGACACTTATATTTTTCTTAATCCTCACCTGATAATATGTATTTATTGATTTTAGAGAACATATTTTATCTTTTTATTACAGCCATTCCAATAGGTATGAAGTGATGTTGAGGTTTTAATTTACATTTTCCTGATGATTAGTTACATTGAGCACCTTTTCATGTTCTTGTTGCCATCTGCATATTTTCTCTGGGGAAAAAAAGTTTATTCAGTTCCTCTGCCTATTTTTAAAATTGGTTTGTTTGTGTTTTATTTTGCTATAGAATTGTATGAGTTCCTTACATATTTTAGATACGATACTAACTCTTTATCAGATACATGATTTGCAAATATGTTCTCTCATTCCGTGGGTTGTCTTTTTATTTTATTGATGATTTTCTTTGCTGTTTAAGAGCTTTCTGGTTTGATATAGTTCAATTTCTTTATTTTTGATTTTGGTGTGAAATCCAAAAAATCATTGCCAAGACTTATGTCAAGGAACGGTCATCCCCTTTTTTGATTTTGGTGTGAAATCCAAAAAATCATTGCCATGACTTATGTCAAGGAACGGTCATCCCCTCTCTGCTTTCTTCTAGGAGTTTTATGGTTTCAGGTCTTACATTCAAGTCTTATTCATTAACAATTGTCTTTTGAATTTTTGTCTTGAGGGGTCCTAGTTCCATTCTTTTGCTGTCCAGTTTTCCCAACACCATTTGTTAAAGACACTCTCCTTTTCCTATTGTATATCCTTGGCCCCTTTGCCATAAATTAATAACCATATATGTGTTGGCTTGTTTCTGGCCTCTCTATCCTCTTCCATTGATCTATGTATCTTTTTTATATCATACCATACTGTTTTGATTACTATGTCTTTACAAAATGTTTTAAATCAGGCTTCCTGTGGTGTCTGCAGCTTTGTTCTTTTTTCTCAAAACCAGCTTAACTATTTGAGATCTATTGTGGTTCCATACACATTCTAGGATTATTTATTCTATTTCTGTGAAAAGTGCCATTGAATTTGAATAAGGATCATACTAAATAAGTAGATTGCTTTAGGTAGTATGGGCATCTTAACAATTTTAACTCTTCTATATATTTTTATTTGTTCGTGTCTTCTTTAATTTCTTTCAGCAATGTCTTACAGTTTTCACTATACAGATATTTTTACCTTCATTAAATTTGTTCCTAGGTATTTCATTCTTTTTGATGTATTTGTAAATGTATTTTTTAAATTTCTGTTTCTGATAGTTCATTGTTAATGTAGAGAATAACAACAGATTTTTATACTGTTTTTTTTATTCTTGCAACTGTACTGAATTCATTAGTTCTAACAGATTTTTGGTGATATATATTTTTCTACAAAAATTTTGAATAATTTGCTTAATTCTGTTTCCTTACATTCTTGAACCTAACTTAGATACATTTAATCACTCAGCCAAATTTCTCCAGTTTTCTGAATTCTTTCCACATTTTGCTTTTTGCTACTAGAACCAGTCTCTTTAAAATGAAGAAGAGCATATACCTGCATAAAGATCTGATCATTCTAGGACCATATTATTATTAGGGGAGGGAAGGAAAACACTTCTTTGCTCAGATATACAGTCCTCTTATGTCAACATGAATATAAACTATAGCAAGATGCCAGATGTCTAGAGTAACTCCAACTCTATGGCCTTCTTATTTTACTTTCATTATATATGTCTCAAAGCAGCTCCCAGAGTCTGAGAACTGCCTGAGAACTGAATGGAAGAAGACGTTGAGGTCAGCATGACCTAACATGACTAGCAGGTCAACATGACCATTTTCAGGACTAGGTGCTAATCCCATGGTCTGTTCAAAAATAATGCTGTCCCCTTAATCCAGCGGTTCTCAACCTGTGGGTCGCGAACAATGAAAATACATCCTGCATATCAGATATTTACATTACGATTCATAACAGTAGCAAAATTACAGTTATGAAGTAGCAACGAAAATAATTTTATGGTTGGGGGTCACCACAACATGAGGAACTGTATTAAAGGGTCACGGCATTAGGAAGGTTGAGAACCACTGCTTAGTCCATTTTTTTAAAAAAAATCTCATTTGTTGCTAAGACAAACATGTATTTAGAATCAAGATTCCATGTCTAAGATGGTATAGAAAAAGAAATTATATAAAGTTATAAAGTTAATAGCTCTTGCCCCCTACTCTCCAGTCCCTACCCCCATCCTGCCTGACTACATAAACATTAAAATACTAGGTAGACATACTTCATTGTGAGCCTTAAGAAGGTATGTTTCTATTGGCAACTAAGCTCCTAAACATCACTGCACACCAACTAGGAAAGAATCAGGATTGATGAAAACACAAAGGTAAGATTTGTTCTAGATGATTTATTCTTCTGTAATTTCTTCCAAGAGCCAACACCCCCCCCTCCAACTCACACACATGCACACACACACAGACATACACTCACACACACTCACACACACCCCTCTTTTGCCCTTAAATAAATAATGAGCTTTGGAAGTTCTTGAACATTTTTTTTTCTTATAGACATCATTCTAAAGGAAAATAGAGACCAGTGTATTCTGGAAGTTTATATAAGTTCCAAAAAAAGGAGTCACTCTGGTGCCGTTTCAACCCTCCTACAGCAGGTTTCTTTATGGTGAGTATGACAAAGGGCAGGCTGTGCTGCGAAAATGCCAGCCATCTCTGTGTTAGAAAACCTTCTATCACTCTTCTTGATTTGACATGAAATATTAAACACCAGTTACCAGCAAAATGTTATTGAACACAGATGTCCACTATCACTTTCAAATTGCTAAAGTCAATTTAGGTTTATATATTTTCTTTGCTTAAGCATTCGCATGCAACGCAAATGTTCTGTGACAGTAATGATTTCACAATATACCCTTTCAATTAGGAAAGCACATCGTATACGTGTTTTCATTTTTAAAATGCCTATTTTTTTTATTCAAAAGCTCTGTGTCCCTCACTAAACATGGGACCTTGGATTGAAAAAATAAATAAAAAGAAAGAGCTCCATCTACTGATTCATTTAAAAAGTTGTTTCCTGTTCTCTTTTTGAATTGAAAAGAATCTTTGGCACAACAGGGATCTTGTGAGCATGTAGCTCAAACTGTTTTTGTTTTTTTTTTTGAAAAAGATTGCAGGAGTTGCCCCCATGGAAATAACTAGATTAGAAAGGAGCTCTGTCTCTGTGACTAAAAAAGCACCCCCCCACCTTTTCTGTGCCCCCGAGAAGCCCTAATTAATAAGTCGGCTGCAGGTTTAGTGCTCCCCAGGGAAATGGTTAGCTGTGGCATTCCCTTTTGCTGAATTTTACAGAATCCCGAGAGGTCATACATTTTGCTCCATTACAATAATCGCATTCATGTCACTGGCCCCCTCTTCCTTCTGAAGGACTTGGTGGGCCTTCTTTGAACGTATTTACGGGGCCATTTCTCCCACTGGTGAAGCTGAAACCTACCATGTGACTCCCCTGCCCCCCACCGCTGCCCAGATTCAAGTGACTTCACAGGGGAAGTGAAGAAAAACATCCACTGGGAACCTGGGGGCAATTGAAGGAGGCCAAGAGTTATGACTTGAGGAGGAACTGCTGTGCCAGCCTCCTGGGGGTGAGGGTTGAGAGCAGCAGCTGGAATGGTGGCCCTGGTGATGTCTGCCAGCTCTCACCCTGCCACCTCTGTCGTTGAGAAGCTTCCAGACCACTTTTAATCTCTGCCTTGAAGTTCCTTTTGTAAAGGTCGTGTTCCCATGAGTCTCCATTGTATGCCAACCCAGGCAGCGTCTTCGGATACAGTCAGATGTGACTTATTTGGGAAATATCCTGGCTGCTTTGAAGGGTCACAATGTTCTGGATCTTAGTGGCTTCCAACTTGGACCTGCTTCCCGTATTACAGAATTTCCCCTAAGATGAACAAACAGCAGACTGTATTCTTCTCATACATTTGAGCAGTGGCAATAGAAAATATTACCAATGGGCAACAAGATGATATCTGGAAACACACAATGGAGCAATTTAGATGAAAGTCTCCTACCTTTGAATCTGTCTGCTCGATCATGCATTTCTATAGTCGTGATTAACTCACTATAAGACCCAGGAATTCAAAGTCAATAGAAAATGTCTATTCCTCCCCCAAATGAATCACACATCACCTATCACTGCAGAATTGCCAAACTCTATGGTTTTCTTGTCAAACATAAATTCAATAGCTGACCACAGCCAGGGACAGAAATTTCTTATAAATCAAATAACTACATACATTAAAGAGAGATGCAGGGGACCTGCTGCCACATTTCAGTCAATCAAAAATATATGTAATAAGTGTCTACTGTGTTCAAGGTGCGGTGCTTGGTGCTGGGGGTGGGGGAGGCATATTTAATGAAATATGACTTGGCCCTAACCCTCAAGCAAGGAAACGCCTACTTCATGTTGCTGCTGTGAGGATTGTATGCAATTACCTAGCACAGTGCCTGACACATACTTGGTGATGGGTAAATGGTCACTATTATCATTACTAGTAATGTAATATAATATTTAGCTAATATTTAATACATAAATGGAAAATATGTCACAGGATGAATGGGTTCCCAAATAATTGACCCAGGCACTAATTGCTCTGAGATCAGATTCAAAGGGAATTCCTGGAGTCTGAAGTGAGACAGTTTCATTCAGATAATTTTAGCTAGAATTACAATTTGCCAGTTTTTGGAAGTTCTTTAAGACCCAGGTGCCAGACTGAGCAATTGACAATTCCATCTCTCTCTTTTTTTTTACTTTCACAATCAAATTATGTAGATATAAGCCACCCCCATTTTACAGATAAGGAAATGAGAGTAGGAGAGGTTAAGGAGCATCACAAAGGCCTGGTACAAATGCTCATGGTTTTTCCACTTAATCAAAAGCTCTCCATCATAGAATTATAGACTATTAGAGCTGGAAGGAAAGCAGAGACCACATTGTCCTGATTGCTGACTTGACAGGTAAAGAAGCAAAGGGCCTGAGAAGAAAAGCAATTTGCTCAAGTTCACACACCTAACTGGTGACATAACTGAAATTAGAGACCAAGGTTCTGGCTCCAAATTGATGCCATTTCCAATATTTTTTCCAAGTATTTTCCAATATTTATCCTAAGTTAATAGCACTTTTAAAATACAAATGTAAAAAGATTATGCTAAGAGAAATCTTGTGCTCCAAGTTAACTTTTTTTTCCAAGTTAATTTTATATCATCTCTTCTCTGCTGAGTAGGTACTTAATTATTTCCTGTTACTGAGAAATTATTTTCTTTTTTTAAAATATTTTATTGATTTTTTACAGAGAGGAAGGGAGAGGGATAGAGAGTTAGAAACATCGATGAGAGGGAATCCATCAACTGCTGCCTCCTGCATATCCCCCACTGGGGATGTGCCCACAACCAAGCTACATGCCCTTGACTGGAATCGAACCAACCTGGGACCCTTGAATCCACTGGCGGTCTGTCTATCCACTGAGTCAAACCGGTTAGGGCTGAGAAATTATTTTCTACCTCACATTCCTCTCCACTCTGTTACACACACACTCACTCACTCACTCACTCACTCACAATTAAAATGCACACCCCTTTCTTTTATTTGGAAGGTAAAATGAAATCTATATTTATATCACAGGATTTGGAGCTTCTATTTAAGTCCAGGCTTAACTGAACCATTCCCTCCAAAACTCATCTTTCAGCAGGATCTGGAGCTAATCTATTTCCTGGGAACTGCATAATTTAAAACAAATCCATAAATATCTACTAACAGGAGATGCTGTGACCTGAATGTTTGTGTTTCCCCCAAATTCATAGGCTAAAATTATAATGTCCGATGTGATGGTATTAGAAGGTAGGACCTTAGGGAGGTAATTATGTCAAGAGGGTGGAGCCTTCATAAATGGGGTTAGTGCCTTTATAACAGAGGGCCCACAGAGCTCCCTGGCCCTTTCCACCAGCGAGGACACAGAGAAAAGCCATTAGCTATGAATCATGAAGAGGGTCCTCACTGGTGCTTTGATCTTAGACTTCCCAGCTTCCAGAACTATGAGAAACAAATCTGTTTTGTTATAGGCTCCCCAGTCAGTGGTATTTGTTAGCAGCCTAGATGGACTAAGACAGTCGATATCAGTAATTGGTCATAAAATACATTCTTCTTTGGCTCATGAGTGGTTCCAAGATCAGTCAGAATACCCAGCAACCAAACTGTCAAGTGAGATGGAACTTTTGCTTTCCCTGATCATAGGCTCCTCTAGATCTGATAAAATCATGCTGCTCTATGTCCTTCATTTATTTTCTGTTGTAGTGCTCTACCCATTTCTAGAGTTGACTTCAGGTTAAATCAAAAGATACATATAATATAACACAGCAATAGGCAGGCTCTCTTAACAAGGGAACTATAACAAAACTAGCAGTTGACATTTCAGTTCATTAATCCAATCATTTTTCTTTTTTTGAGAGTCCAGTTACTCATCACAAAGTAACTACCTGTGCAACTCTTATCATGACCATGAATTAAAATATGTCAGTGCCTAGGAGACCCTTTTGTGCCCCTTCTCAATCACTCCTTCCCCCTCAAAATTACCAGTACTTTGAATGTTTTAGGATAATAATTTCCTTGCTTTCCTTGATACCATCAAAGCCTGCATTGTTAAACACTCCAGTTTTTCCTGTTTTTAACTCTATTTAAATTGATGAGACTAAGTATACCGAGTAATCCTGGCCTTTCACTCAAAATTTTACATGGAAATGTCAAAGTTATTTAGCCATACTACTGAAAGGCATTGTTTTCAGTTTTAATGATAATAAATAATACTGCTATTAATATTTTTGTGCATGTTTCCTTGCGTGAATTATCTTGGGTATATCCTATATAATAAAAGCCAAATATGCTAAGTGTCTGGTCGTCTGTTCAACCAATCAAAGGGTAATATGCTAAGGCCCTCAACTGCTCACTATGACATGCACTGACCACCAGGGGGCAGATGCTCCAAAAGGTAGGTTAGCTTGCCGGTCCAGCCAGTCGGAGAGTGAGATGATGGGCTGGACACACCCTGGAGCCCTCCCGTGGTCCTTCCCTGGCTGACCAACCTCCTGTGTCCCTCCCCGGCCCCGATTGTGTACTGGTGGGGTCCTTTGGCCTGGTGTGTGCCCTCTCACAATCAAGGACCCCTCGGGGGATGTTGAAGAGCCAGTTTCGGCCCAATCCTACAGGCCAGGCCAAGAGACCCACTGGTGCATGAATTCGTGCATGGGGCCTCTAGTATTAAAAATGTAAGGTTATTAAAATATGGTCAGCTTAATGAAATACATTTATCAAAAGTAGTTGCCCCTTAATATTTATTATCAGTATTATAAAATTTAGATATCCTTTAGGTATAAATTTGCATTTTCCTGATTACTGATGAAGATTAATATATTTTCATATATTCCATATGCTTACTGGATATTTACATTCATCGTGTGTGTGTGTGTGTGTGTGTGTGTGTGTGTGTGTGTAGTGCCCTTTCAGTTTTCTTGCTTTTTTGGGGGGTGGAGGGTTCTCTGACTATCTTTTTCCTATGTGGCAGTTCTTTATATAATCAGGAAAACTAGCTATTTACCAGTAATAAGTGTTTAAAGCATGTTTCCCTTCTTGGTGGTTTGTTTTTAACTGTCTTAATAGTATATTTTAATGAATAAAAATGTCCAATACTAATATGTAACCTCATTTACCAATCTTTTCCTTATGGTTAGTGCTTTTGCTTCTTATTTAAGAAGTTTCCATTTATAATGAGATTATAAATATAGTTCTCCTATGTAATCTTCTATATGCTTTATTGTTTTACCTTCACATTTAAATCTACAATACATGTGAAATGATGTTTGTGTATGATGTGAAAGTTAAATTCCCTTGATTTTTTTCTATGCATAGCCAATTTTCCCAATATCATTTGTTGAAAAAAATCTTTCTTTACTATTATACTACCACTGTTGCTATAAATCACATGTTCATATGTGCATAGGTCTATTGATGAGATCTTGATCCTATTTATTTGATCTGCTCCTATCTTTATGCTCTTCTAATTAGTGTAGCTTATAAATTTGATATACAATACTGCAATGACAACCACTCATAGTTATTTATACAGGGGGTGAACTACAGAAAATGCACAGAAGGAGCCTCAGATGAAGAATGAAAATTAGAAAATGCTGGAACATACAGAGCTCAGTTTTTGGACCACTCACCTTTTCTGTCTATACTCATTTCCTACGTCATTCCATCTAGTCTAATGGTTTGAAATATTATCTACTGTATATGCTAATGGTCCAAAAATCTATGTCCCTGGCCTGGACTTTTCCCCTAATGGTTTCACTTAGTGTCCAAGAACCTACTTGACATCTCCACTTGAAACTCTAATAGGCATCTCAAACTTAATATGTTCAACACTGACCTCCTAACATCTGCCTCTCCTCAACAAAGTTCTAGCTCTTTCCATAGTCATTCCCCTTTCAATTAAATAATATTGCAATTCTTCCATAAATCTTGGTGTTGTGTTTAACTCTTCTTTTTCACTGTCCACATCCATTGCATCTGCAGAGTCTCTTTACTCTGCATAAAATTATATCCAACTTATTTCCATTCCACTCTTGACATCCTGGAGTATTGCAGTAACTTCTAAACTAGTCTCCTTCCTCCTGCCCCTAGTTCTCCATAATTGATTTTCTACCCAGGAAACATAATTATTTTCCTATTATTCCTCTTTTCAAGAGATGTTCAATAGATTTCCCCCTTATTAGGTATAAAAACCAAAATACTATGTTAAACAATCATCTAAATGATCTGGTCCCCTGATATCTCTCTGATTTTATCTCTTTTTAAAATATTTTTATTGATTTCAGAGAGGAAGGGAGAGGGAGAGAGAGAAACATCAATAATGAGAGAGAATCATTGATTGTCTGACTCCTGCACGCCCCCTACTGGGGATCCAGCCCACAACCTGCA